CGTCTATTGTCCCCTTTAAATATCTAAGGATTAACTTCACAGCTTCCTAATGAGTTTTACCAGGACGCTTCATATAGCGACTAACAACACTCACTGCTTGTGAATATTAGGCCTAGTGCATACCATAGCATACATTATATTACCCACTGCACTAGAATAAGGAACATGGGACATATGCTCCTCATCCTCCTCAGTCTGCGGTGATAACTTATCTGAAAGTTTAAATTCCTTCGCTAAAGGTGTACTCACAGATTTTGCTGACTGCATATTCAATCATGCAACTATCTTCTCAATATATTTCTTCTGAAAAAGACGTAAACTTCCTGCAGTTCTGTCATGCAAAATCTCCATACTTAATATTTTCTTGGCAGCACCTAAATCTTTCATCTCAAATTCAACACTCAATTGCCTCTTCAGCACATCAATATCAGATATATTCTTAGCTACTATCAGAATATCATCAATATATAACAATAGATATATCAAAGACACATCTTCCAATCTTCTAAAATAAACACAACTATCCATTTGACTTTTAGAATAGTCCTGACTAGCCATGAAAAAATCGAAACGTTTATACCACTGCTTAGGACACTATTTTAGCCCATACAAAGATTTCTTCAATAAGCAAACATGATCTTCTTTATCCGGAATAACAAATCCCTCTGGCTGTCTCATGTAAATCTGCTCCTCACACGAATAGAAGTGTGTTTTACCACATGAGAGAAAATCTCGTTGTAGTCAATGCCCTCCCGTTATGTATACCCCTTCGCGACAAATCTTGCCTTATATCTCGCTGCCTCGATACCGGGAATGCCTTCTTTCTGTTTAAAGACCCACTTACTTCCGACAATCTTCTGGCTCTTATGTACTTTGACCAGCTTTCATGTCTGATTTCGATGGAGTGATTCCATCTCTTCACTCATAGCCCCTATCCACCGTAGCGACTCAGAACTAGCCATCGCCTCAGAGTAACACGAATGTTCATCTGTCTCCACCTCGTCACCTACAGTCAATGCATAAGCAATATCTATGTAACCATAACGTACCGGTGGTTTAATTTGCCTTTTCTGTCTGCCTGCAGCTATAGTGTGTTACGGCTCTGCTGGTTGTTTAGTATCACCGACTTCAGGAACTGCGGCCTCATCTACAATCTCAACTTCTGTTACCTTCGAGGTCTTTGGAGTATCCACCTTACTACTGACACTCCGATCTGTCTACTCTGCCGGTTGTGTCTCAAGCCCCCTCCTTTGAAGCATTGCAGTCTCATCAAAGATCACGTCTCTGCTGATTAGAAAACTGGGTGATCTGGAATCAGTGCACCACAGCCGGTAGCCTTTTACCCCATGTGCATAACCCAAAAATATGCACTTCTTCGCCCTCAACTCAAGCTTACCATCACTAGCATGAGCATACGCAGGACATCCGAATACTCGTAATCCAGAGTAATCAACAGCTTTCCCCAACCATACTTCTTCAAGAGTCTTCCACTCAATAACAGATGATGGAGATTGATTTATCAGGTAACATGCCATGTCACTGCTTCGGCCCAAAATTTCCTGCTCAAACCTGCATGCGAAAGCATGCTCCGAGCTCGCTCCAGTAAAGTTCCGTTCTTCCGTTCTGCAATGCCATTCTGTTGTGGTGTCCTGAGCATTGTGCGGTGCGGTGTCTCACAATCCCTTCTTTCTCGCAGAACTCGGTAAAATCTTTACCACAGAACTCCATGCCGTTATTGGTTCTCAGGCACTTGATCTGTTTATCTGACTACTTCTCAATCAATGCCTTAAATTTCTTGAATCGATCAAACACATCAGATTTATGCTTAAAAAAGTATACCCATACCTTTCTCGAGTAGTTGTCGATAAATGTCAGCATATACCAGGCACCCCCTTTCGAAGGAACTAGAGACGGGTCCCAGACGTCTGAATGAATATACTCAACTGGTCGATTGGTCGAATGAATAGCTGTTGTAAACTTAATTCGGCACTGCTTCCCAATGATGCAGTGCTCACATAAGTCCAGTTTTCCTGTCTTCTGACCCTTTAACAACCCCCTCTCACTCAGCACCATCATACCTGCTTCACTCATGTGCTCCAAATGCATATGCCATAACTAAGTCAAGTTAGAATCTGACTCACTTGATAAAATTGCAGCAGCTCCGATCACGGTCTCTCCCAGTAAATGATAGAGAGAACTCATTTTCTTCCCCTCCATCACTGTCATGGCACATTGAGAGACCTTCAGCACTCCACCTTTAGCAGTGTACTTACACCCAATATCATCGAGTGTCCCCAGAGAAATAAGATTCTTCTTGAGCTCTGGTACATGCCTCACGTCTGTCAGTGTGCGCACCAATCCATCGTGCATTCGAATCTAAACTGTCCCTATCCCCACAACATTGTAGATTGCGTTATTTCTCATCAGAACTTTACTACCATCTGCAATCTAGTAAGTAGTAAACCAGTTCTTATGAAGCGTCATATGATAAGAACACCCCGAATCTAGCACCAATTCGTCTCCTAACGAGTCAGTAGTCACACACAAGACGGCTTATGTATTACTAGTGCTCTCCTCAGCAACGTTTGCCACACTGCTTGTGACATTCTGCTTGTCACATCTATTTCTTCTCTTCGGACAATCTCTCCTAATGTGCCCCTCCTCGTGACATTCAAAGCACTTCACGCGTCCCTTGGATTTTCTATTGCGTGACTTTGACCTGCTTTTACCTCTGCTGCTATTGGACCGTCGATGTTGTTCTCTACCTCGAATCACTAGTCCTCGCGCTACATCCTGCGCTAAACTGTCATCTCACAACTTTCTCTGCCCTCTTTAGAGAACAATGCAGACTTTACCTCTTCCGAGGTAATCGTAGTACGCTTCTGTAGTAGTGAATCAGTAAAATGCCCTATGATTCCCGTAAAGAAGCCAACAACATCATGCCCTGTTCTTCATCATCAAGTATCTTACCAACGTTTTTCAAATTCATCATGAGTTTATTAAATTCATCTAGGTGGGATCTGATCGACGTACTTTCAGAATATCGAAACTGAAACATTCTCTTCAGATGTACAAGAGATTGTTCAAACCCTTCGTTACATAGAGAGCTTGAAGTTTTGCCCACAACGCTGCGGCATCCTTCTCCTCAGCCACCTCTATTAACACCTCATCCGATAAATTCAACAGAATTATACTCTTTGCTTTCTCCATTAGCTCTACCCTGTCAGCCGCTTTCATTATAATGGGCAACCCATCTTCGCCATCTAATGCCTTGGCTAAACCTTGGGTTGTCAATAGCGCACACATCTTAACGCATCATAACTCAAAGTTGTTCCTCCAGTTAAAGTTCTCAATCTCAACTTTCGCTCCAGACATAATTGCAATAGTATAATTTCCAAATAATAATCAAACAAGCAAAAGCCCCAAATCACAATCCAGAAAATCTAACCCTCAAGCTCTTATACCAAATGTTGGAATATAACTCGGAAACGACAGGATCTTGTAAATTAAGTCAATGAGAAAATACGGGAAAAATAAATAAGGAACAATAAAGGGCAACACAGATTTACGTGGTTCGGTCCGAATGTCGGTATCTACATCCACGGTGAAAGCCATCAACAAATAATCACTATAATTGGAGAATCAGAATTACAATCCGCTCATACGCTCGAGTGTTTTCTACACCTAAATTTAAGCTCAAATCCATAGTATTTATGAATAAATAATTTAATTGGATGAAATAAACTCATAGCACAAATTACCGCGTGTTCAAGCCAAAAGCAAAATACGCGCACATTCAAGAACGTCTCTGTACGTTCTGCCTCCTTCGTGCTGCTTGAATACTAGCGTCTCTCTACATCTTGCTTTCTGAGGCTTTGGTCTTCGTTAAAGGAAAGAAACCCTCAATTTCTTTTCTTTTTATATGCGGCAAAAACCCTTGTTTTGCTTCCCTTTTATCTGACTTGCGTGGCCCCCACACGTTTCTTTTGTACGTCCTCCTTCACAGAAAGGAGTCAACAAATTGACCCGGGCCACCGAAATAGATATCATAAAATAAAGTGTGCCCCTGTTTTGTCTTTTAGTGGCCTTCTTTATTCTCAATTCGTGTTGCCGTGAGCCCCTCATTCGAAATCAGCCAACTAGGAAAGTAAATTTGTTACACGAGCTCAAACTCGAGACATAAATTCAACAAACATCAATGGGTCACATGAAAACAATATAAAAATCAGGCGTTAGGTAATCAGATTAGGTGGGAATGATACATCTTTCGGGTCAATAATCTCATATCCTTTGATTGGTCAAAATAAGTCAGTTCACCATTTCGAAAATCAGTAGAAGTTTCTCTTAATTTGTGGATGAGTTTAAATTTCTGCTCGTGCCAATAGGCCTAGATAAGGTGGCAATTAGTGTTGTGCCACCATATTTGTATCAACTATTAGAGATGCGTTAGTGCTTAAATAGCTCCAAACTTTTTTTTTTTTGGTCAAAAAAATAGCTCCAAACTTGAATAGTATGAAGCAAATATCTAATACTATTGAGAGTTATAAGTTACCAATTTCTTTAAAAAATGTCAATTATTTTTTTGTAAAGTACCAGACTATAAAAGATTTATAAGCATCCCAATAAATTATCAAATTATCAATTTTTTTTGAAATTTTGATAGTACGTACGCCTATCATATTAGAAATTTATCGAAATTCCATTAAATTAGTAAGTTACTAATTTCTTTGGCATTGTATAAGTTTGGTTAGTAAATTACCAATACTATAGACAATTTGCCAATAATGTTAATTAATTTTTTTTAATTTTTATATCTTGCCGGCTGACCAAGAAATCTCGGTGATCATCCAAGAAAGCGGCATGCATGAACAAAGTGTTAGAAGACGAATGGCTTTTTTGTACCTATTTAGCAACCACGCCCATGAGCACTGGGATTCTATGACCCGATCCTCACAAGACTTCCCTATAAATTCTCAAACGGTATCCATGACACTACAAGCAAAGAATATCATGACAGCTCAAGAAACTCGGGCAGAAATTCCGAGAGATAAGTACCGCTCCTTCTTGTATGATGACGCTGAGAACACTCACTGGAGATATGGTGGTCCTCCCTCATATGAAGATGCGAACAGGCTCTTCGAACAAGGCCGAACCAAGGTCAATGTGATGTTGATGTTGATGCTGTTCTTGTTGATATTCATACCGTATTGCTGGTTCTCGCAGTTACCATTTGGAATTGTTCCTCTCACTCATCTTGGTACTGTTTTTATGTTCTGAAGGAATGGCCGGAAGGATCGTTAGAAGAAACCGTACAAAACGCTATCAAGTCATGGGAAATGGAGGTCTCACACAAGACCCGGGTGCAAGACATCAGGACAATAAGTCCCGAAAAATTCAAGTTAATCATAAATGGTATGTACGTGACTTAGGTTCCGTATGATGTTTATAAGTCTCCTATTTATCCTTTCGAGCTCGTGAACCCATTATAGAACATAAAGAGCATACTATCGGCAAATTTTAAGGATGACGAACATTCTTTAGGCAAGTGTAAAAATAAAGAACCTGTTCTACTGGTGTTTTTCTTTCAGGTAGAGAGGGTTTATCTGCTGAAGAAACCGTGAAACTTGGAACCTACAACGCATTGCTGAAAACTTCTCTGCCAGAGGAATTTCAATACTACAAAGCTGAAAAAGAGACATTTGAATCGTCTCATGATGCGTTCAAATCAGCCTTTCCTCGTGGTTTTGCGTGGGAGGTGCTGGAGGTTTTCTCCGGGCCGCCGGTTATTGCCTTCAAGTTCAGGCACTGGGGTTTCTTTGAAGGGCCTTTCAAGGGGCATGCACCCACTGGAGAGATGGTGGAGTTTCGTGGCCTTGGGACTCTTAAGGTGCGTTGTCGGATGAAAAATCCTGTATACAAGAAGCATGCGGTTAACAGCACACATACTCAAATAATCTTTGAACTCGAAAAAGTTAATGAGGTGGTAGGTTTAACATACTGCCCCAGTGATGAACAAAACCAATCGCTATGTATGAAAATATCAGCGAGTCAGTCTCTTTGCATGGACTAAGAAGTGCATGCACTGCAATTATAGTCTGGTAATTAGTTACAAATGAATCAAAAGTAGATGCTGCAATTGGTGCAACAGCAATAAACTTGGTTGCCGTCAAGACTGGATGGACTGAGTTCAATGAATTTTTTCAGATCCAGGGATGTTGTTTAAAACGAGTCCACCATTCTTCGGCAGGCAGGGATGTTGTTTAACCACCTCTGAATCTCTAATTCAGGTTGATGAATCACTGAGAGCGGAAGAAGTTGAGATATACTACGACCCAGCACAGCTGTTCGGAGGTCTATTGAAGGGCTCGATTATCCCAGAATCCCACAACAAAGACACCAATGACTTCTCTGAAGCTGCTCTTTGTCCATTTTCCAACAAATAAATGATGCATACAATCTAGATGCCTTGCTCATTGAGCTTGCGTGTTTGTCGTGCCGTGTTTTCATATTCTGTCTATGTAATGAGCTGAACACATTCATGTGTTCGACTTACAAATCTGACTTGCTTCTCTCCCGAGTAGCAAAAGATGATCTGGAATAAGTTTTCTTAAAGGTTCTCTCCCTCAAATAAAATACAAGATGGAATTGAAGTTATGCTTCTTCCAACAGTTCAAACAGTTTTGGCTTTTGGCAATTGCAAGTTTGCAACACCTACACAGGTTTTTTTAGTCAAACTATGATAAACCAACAAATTCTGTAACTCGTCCAGACATCCCAAAATCGGTTGAGAAGAACATATAATTTTATTAATCACATATAGATAATGTTACAGGACTATGGCAAATGAAAAAAAACAGAAATTGACAAGGTTACAGAGACAAAGTGATGCCTTGCATGTCTGTAGAGTCTAGAGTACATAAAGGTTAAGCAACGCAAAATAACTTTGTCTCATCCTCTTTTTCCTGTAATTACAGGCACGTACAACAACTCCACTAATGAGATCAACCAACCACCTCATCTTAACGGTACTCGAACTTTGAGTCTACACCACGACGGCATTCATCGATAAGAGCCAGACTTAACATCTCAGTGCAGAATTGATCATCTGGTTTTAACCGCAAAGCCTGAAACCATAAGAACAGAAAGGAGAGACTTAGTAACTCACAAATACATGCATTTAAGTGTTGAGAAATATGCTGATACATGCAACATATTAAACTAGTTTACTGAGTGCATAATGCAAATAACAAGAAAAATATGCATGAATACCTGGCATAAAAATACTTTGTCAAATTAGTCAATTTAAAATCTTCACATGAACAAAGCTATGTAACCGATATGGAGCCGTCTGAACTACTCAGAGACTAATTCACACAGATAAATGGTGGGCTCAAGGGAAATAATGCCATCACAGAAATATATGAATCTTACTTTGTGATAATATGTAATAGCTGCTGTGAAGTTGTCCTGCAAAATGCAATCGAAGGAAGCAGATCTGTCAGACCAGTCAAAAATCATGACAAAGAGACAGTGCAGCACCTTAAGTGTGACCACACACCCAGACAGCACCATACACCGTACAACATTTTTCTTCTGAATGGTTATCTAATCAGCATCAGTGAAATGAAAATATAATCTAAAAACTAATGTGGTTTCATAACCTACGAATATTAAGTTGTTAGCCTGATATCATGCAGTGTGTCCTAACCAATGAAAGAGATGTGTGCCAGGACACGCCCAACATATTACACTCTTAAAGCAGTTAAAGATCACTCAGATTTTGAGTCACTTCTGTCTTTTAGTATTCAGAAGCCCTACAAAGTTCCTGTCTGCAATGAAGAGAACCATTACGTGCTCTTTCAAATATGACAAGACTCTCTTCATAACTATTAGTTTCATCTTCAACAGTTTAGACTCGAAGCCATGTATCTTCAACTTAGGCAACACATCCCAGATGAGTTGATGCATAATGGATTTCTATCGTGACCAAGTGTCGCTCGTCTTGTGCTCGGGAAAAGTCCTTTAAATGCTCCAACAACCACACGAAATGTGGAGCAAACAGTCTCATGATGTTCTGAACAAGAGGCAAATGGCTATAGAAAGATAACTTGGATTTAAGAATATAACTTCCAAATTTCCTTACGGCTGCAGGTGGATTGAGTATAGCCCTTGCACTTTTTGTAGCAAGAGCATATAGAGGAATATTTGTATTGTCTAATTGTAACATCCAGACAACCACTGATACTTCTCCTTGTCCTCTCTCTCTCTCTCTCTCTCTCTCTACCCCTCCCCACTCCCCCTTCCCTAGCATACATAATCTTCCCACTTGCCAAATGGGGCACCTATTTGTAATCTTAAACCGCACCACACACCACACCCCCCCCCAGGTGTTTTTAATCTGTTACAATGGCTGTGTTAGAAGATTTCTATACAAGAAATATTATTGGGTTAACCAAACCTTGTTTCAGGACTTGGAATTTTCACCAACTTTAATTAGCCAAATTTAGATCTTAATAAAGGAAAACAAGCCTCTCTAGCCAAATAAATCTCATCCAACCTCCAAAAGTTCTGAATTGATATACATGCCGTGGAACTACTATTACATAAAGTCATCTAAAACTTTCCTACATACATGAAGCAATCACAACCAAAAGATAATTTAATGTTTGTATATTTGTCTGCTGAGCAATCGCCACCTGATTAATTTATAAGAGTTAAAAACAGCAAAGATAATCCATAAATTACAAAAAGGAGTATCCAAATACCTGCAAATGGTAAGTGTAAGCAATACCAGCATAAGTGCACACACTTCTTGTGGATAATGCCAGAGCTTTCTCATAGTTCAATATTGCTTCATTGTACATCCTGAACATGCAGGAGTTGAAAGGATTAGGTTCAGTGAAGGAAAAACCAAACATGACGACAAATTATCAATCTTGAAAAAACACATTCCAAGCGAAACAGGATGAACAACCCCTGAAAAGTAAGAACAAATTAACATGAGATAAATACATAAATAAAAACGAAACAGGATGGCTGGGGAAAAACAAATTTGAGAGAGAAAGTAATATATCCAGTGGCTGCTTGTTTGTGAAATTCGCATGATGTCTTCAAATTCTCTTTTCGAAATTGTCAAGTTCTAAACTGAGCATATTGTTAGCATTCTTTGCAGCAACCGAAGTAGCTCAAACTTGCATATCAAAGTCTAGTGCTCTTCTTATTATGATTTGGTGGTGGACCTGAGCCATGTCTCATGGAATTTACGATTATGAATTCTACTTCAAACATGAGTGACATAGTAATATGCAACTCCAGTAAACGCTTCATCAAAACCTCTTCCAGCTTCCCAACAATCTTGCATAAAAAAGCTGAAGAGAGCTCTATGGCAGAGAACTTCCTTTGTAATTGTATACACTAAAGTTCTTGATCCACATTAACCAGGATAAGAAAATAAAAACAAAGAAATATACAAGCCATTGAGAAAGAACTTCACATACTTTAACTTTCTGTATGAATGAGCTAGATTAACAACAGTGGGTTCCCACATTTCACTTAAAGGAGATGAAATGTGAGCCAAAGTTTTCTCGAACCACCGAACAGCTTTGTTATACCTGGAAATGTCCCAAAAGGCATGTTTAAAAGCAACTCAGTGTCAGAACGGTACAATCAAATTCTCACAATCAGAGAATCTAAGCAACCATCAACAACTATTATTGACAAAAAAACTCCACTGTACTGCTCATGCATAATAGAGCGCTAAAACATGAAAGGATTCATGCAGCAAACCACAGCAAGTGCGATAATGCTTAGTTTTTTTAATTGTTGTACACATATATGAAGCACATATTAAGCATAAACTCCAAAGGTTGCAAGAAAACACCCCCCCCCCCTCCCCTCCCCAAAAAAAAAAAAAAAGAAATTTGCAGAGGACAACCTAAAGCAAGGAAAACAAACAAAGGAACGAAGCCTCCTTACTCTTTCATGTGATAAGAAACAACTCCCAATTCATTATATACAAGAGGGTCCGATGGGCAGATTGTTTTAGCCTGCATGAAAAACTAAACAGCAAAGAGGATAATCAGAAGCCTGTGTTATCAAATCACACATCCTAATGATCAAATGATCGCTGTTATGATCGTAGAACACGGTGAATAAAGCTGCAACTTTCTCTATAAATTTTCAACTATGAAAAACATATTATCTTCATGCACAAGGATACTTAATTACTAGTAGGAAAGATCAATTCTACTGTAAAAACTAAAAGGATGCATTTGTTCTTACCCCCGTAGGACACCTCACTATACACTCTTCTAGAAACTAATATCAGCTTTAGCATTTATTACATGTCAATGCCAAATGCTAACATTCCCAAAAATACATTTAAAAGGCCTTAGCTACATCATTATTTCTCTAAGAAAATCCACCGAACATGCAGTCATGGATATCTCACAGAAATCTTTTTTTTTTTTTTGTGGGTAAAGGTATCACCAATGCTATGTTTAGGAAAAGAAGGAAAAACGCGGGATGAAAGTTTGGGTGGAAGATGAGGAAAATTTTAAAAAAACTTGTGAGAAGGGAGATGAGGGAAAGTTCAAAGTTTTTGACATTTTCTAACCAAATTCTCATCTCCCCCCTCTCCCCAACATAGCACAAAAGAAAAGTGAAGGTATAGTATTAGCATATCCAGGAGGGATCCAAAGAGATAACAAAAGACGAAGAATATGGTGAACTCCAGTACAAAGAGTTACACTTACAGCTGATGAAGATTTTGCTCATGGATCTCTTAATATTGACACAGATAACTAATGAAAGAGCAAACCAAGAATATTTTCTGATATTCGTAAACACGGCCATAATAACAAAATTTCCAAGAGTAGTAATTTACCTGCTCAGCAAGTTTAAAACTATGTGTTCTCATGTACTCCATTCCTATGTATAATGTTGGCAAGTGGCACCTGGAATAAGAGAATATCAAGATTCAACCTGTAAAAGGACCACTGTTACATAACAGTAGAATTTTAATAGTTTTGAAAACATTTCAGACCAAACAACCACTTGAAATAACTCATTGGGGATGTAATTCTTCGAAGGACAGAAGAATGTGGAATATTTGAATACGTGGAAACCACAGGCGCTCTATAAAGGAACTGATTTAGATAAACTTTTGGAAGGAAAAAGGAATTATCAACAATAGTTACATCTATGATAGTATTGTTAGACCCATTCCATTCATTTGTCTCTTTAGTATCTTAAACTTCCACACATATAAGAGATATTCAAATTTGAAGTTCTGTTATCACAGTCATACAGAGAGGATTCAACACGGCAAAAACATAAGAAGCATCTGCACAGGCATGCAGGAGTTATGTACATGAACCGCATACACTTTGAATAAGTCTCCACTCGAGCAAGATCACTAATTTTTCAGACAAAGAACATGGCCAGAAAAGGCATAACTAGCGAGAACAAAGTTGCTT